GGGGGGAGTGCAACTCCATTAGCGCAGGGAAATGGCCCCCCAGCCTGTCCAGCGAAGCACCCTCTAATAGCACTTCCGTCTTGTCTGGATTGAGTTTCAATTTATTAACCCTCATCCAGTCCATTATCAGGTCCAGACACGAATTCAGCACAGAAACCGCCTCACCTGGATTGGTGGAAAACAGAGGTAGAGCTGAGTGTCATCAGCATTTTGCTGACTCCTCAGCCCAAACCTGCTGATGACCTCTCCCAGTGGTTCCATGTAGATGCTAAACAGCATGGGGGACAGTATTGAGCCCTGAGGAACTCCATGACATAAACCCCATGGGACAGAGCAACTGTCCCCCAGCACCACCCTCTGGACACAGTCAGCCAGGAAGGAGCGGAACCACCATAAAGCAGTTCCCCCAACTCCCAACCCAGCCAGCCTATCCAGAAAGACACCATGGTCAATGGTGTCAAAAGCCGCTGAGAGGTCCAGGAGTATCAACAGGGTCACACTCCCCCTGTCTCTCTCCCAGCAAAGCTCATCGTAAATGGTGACCAAGGCAGTCTCCGTACCAAAACCCAGCCTGAAACCCGATTGAAATGGATCCAGAAAATCAGTTTCATCCAGCAGCGCCTGGAGTTTCCCGGCCACTGCCCGCTCCAACACTTTGCCCAAATAAGGGAGGTTCGCATCTGGTTGGTAGTTAACCACCAGCCTTGGGTCCAGGTTAGGCTTTTTTAGAAGTGGCCAAATTACCGCCTCATTCAAGGTGGTAGGGACCAGTCCCTCTCTCAAAGAGGCGTTCGCTGCCTCCTTGACCCAGGTGTGAACCCCCCTGGCAGATCTTCCAATTAGCCAAGATGGGCAAGGGTCCAAACCAGTAGCTTATTAATACAAAGAGAGACTACAATATTCTCATTTACACCTTCAAAACATACTTATCCTAACATGGGAAGAGTGGGAAGATATCATATTCACCTGTTCAACTTAGGGACTACCATGTTTTCAGAAAGTTTGGATACCGCTGTACAGTACAACTATACAGTTGTACAAGTGGACGTATCTGGAGTTCCATGTAATCAAGGTCTTTGGGGGAACATGCATGTATAACATGTGCACCATCCCCTGAACATGTATAGGTTAAGAAGGGAGGCAAAAACTGATCCTGTTGCCTTTCATTGTTTGGTGCCCATATTTTGAAGGGGGGAAGAGGGCTCCTGGGTTAGAACACAAGGCCACACTAGATTCTTCCAGATTTCACAAGCTAAAATCACTTAGCTGACTGATCATTTCTACTGCAAATGGGAGCAGCTGAACAAAACACCATCTGAACACATCAGGACATGACAAGCCAGTGAAAGAACCAACAGATTGTTCTAGCTTTACTTTTGTTTTATGTGTATGGTTCATGTTAAAGAAAACAAGAACTCTGCAGCCCTGTAAACTGCAGGAAGATGTTCTGTTGGGCTTCTGTGACTCAGGAACTAATGGTGAAGAGCCACTCTAGATAAACACCTGGATCAACTATTTCAATGCTTTGCTTGTGGGACTCCCCTTGAACCTGACCCAGAAATTACAGCGGGTCCAGAAATGCAGTGGAGACACTGGTGACTGGTCTGAGAAAATTTGAGGATATCACTCCAGTTCTGGTTTGCCTGCACTGGTTACCCATTGTGTCCTGTATCAGGTTCAAGGTTTTAACTCTAATGTATAAAGTGCTCCGTGGTTTGGGACCACGTTACTTGTCGGACTGTCTGACCCCAATGTCATCCGCTTGACACACGAGATCCCCCCCAGACCAGGCTACTCTGGGTGGCCCAGAGTTTTTGGGATCACTTGTATGGAGTCTGTAACCTTCATATTTTGCTTATGGGCTTCGAACAGGCATCTAGTTGGCCACTGTGCGAAAAGGGGAGGGGGATTTTCAAGTAAGATGGTGCTGATCCTGTTGAACTCTGTGTTCATTTAACAACGACTAAAATCCTGTTGTTTAGCATAGTACTGTAAATCATGTATGGAAGTGTACAGCTGGACCATAAAGAAAGCTGACCGCCGAAGAATTGATGCCTTTGAATTGTGGTGCTGGAGGAGACTCTTGAGAGCCCCCTGGACTGCAAGGAGAACAAACCTATCAATTCTAAAGGAAATCAACCCTGAGTGCTCACTGGAAGGACAGATCCTGAAGCTGAGGCTCCAGTACTTTGGCCATCTCATGAGAAGAGAAGACTCCTTGGAAGGCTGTTGGGAAAGTATGAAGGCAAGAGGAGAAGGGGACGACCAAGGATGAGATGGCTGGACAGTGTCTGCGAAGCAACGAACATGAATTTGACAGAACTCCGGGAGGCAGTGGAAGATAGGAGGGCCTGGCGTGCTCTGGTCCATGGGGTCACGAAGAGTCGGATACGAGTAAATGACTAAACAACGACATAAATCATACTAAATAAGGCCAACTGAATCAGCAGGGATTTGGTGAGCCAACTCCTTCATAGGCTCTATTGATTCAAATAGGGCCTACTCTAGTTGCAGCTTACAATGCTAACCAACAGGCTTCCAGCCATTATGAGATCCAATGAATATGTTCTCTTCTGGTGGCTTCTTTAACATAATGTGGACTACATTGCCAAGACTAAAGGTTTCTCACATTGTTCAGAAAAATGCTTCTCCACTCATGCCCTTTTAACAACAACAACAGAAATGCACAACTAGAAGAGACCCTATGGATCATTGAGTTCAACCCCTGTCAGAGATGCACAGTGGGGAATCAAATTCCCAGCCTCTACTTCTGCAGCCAGATACCTAAACCAGTGAGCTTTCCAGCAATCTTCATTTGTTAGTTTATCATTCAGTCTGGTGATAAACTTTAACACAATTGAAAACTTGCTTATTTCTTTGTAGTTGATCCTATTAAACCTTATTATTACTCAACTTTTACTTTTGGGAAATTTTATTTTTCAGAAAGCAAACAAACACAAATCCTTCTGATCATCAAGGAGTTGAGTCTGAGAAGTGAAGTGAGATGTCCCCATCAGCTTATTTCCCAGCAGCTGAGCACTTTGAGAAATGATATCTATATCAGGGAGGGCAAAATGAAGGTCTCCAGATGCTGCTGGCTTGCAACTTCCAATATTCCTCATCTTTGGTAATGTTGACCAGAGCTGATGGGGCTTATATACAGTGGGGTCTTGACTTAAGAACTACTTGAGTTAAGAACATTTTGACTTAAGAACCGCTCTCATAGGAAAATATTGACTTGACTTAAGTACTTAGATTTGAGTTAAGAACTGAAAAAAAACCACGTGGGAGGCAGGGAAATTGAGAAATGATATCTATATCAGGGAGGGCAAAATGAAGGTCTCCAGATGCTGCTGGCTTGCAACTTCCAATATTCCTCACCTTTGGTAATGGTGACCAGAGTTGATGGGGCTTATATAGTCCATCAACATCTGGAGGTCCTCCCTTTGTCCAGCTCTGATGAGCATGGCGACCCCATTTAACTAGGTACAGAGGACTGTGGTCCTTCAGTCCTAACCAGGAGAGCAGCGGTGAGGGATTAAGGAAGCTGCAGTCCTCAAATATCTGAAAGGCTACAAATATAGGCCTCCTGCATTTAATTGCTATACCCGCTGGCTGTTAATGGACTCATCCTCCAGAGTTCCTGGAGGATGAATCAGACAGCAGTACAAAACTCTGCACAGTTATAAAACACTAATAAGAATAATAACAACAAGCTGTCAAGTCAATTCTGATTCACTACAAACCCATTCCGTGGCTTTTAAGATTTGTAGCATTCAGAGGTGGTTTACAATCTCCTCCTCCTGGGCCTGCTCTGGGTTTGTGTAGTTTGTCCAAGGTTCCACCAGCCGGCTTTACTCTCAGGTGGCACAGTGGGAAACTAAACTCCACAAACATCTCAAGTCAAGACCCCACTGTAGTCCATCAACATCTGGAGGTCCTCCCTTTGTCCAGCTCTGATGAGCATGGTGACCCCATTTAACTAGGTACAGAGGACTGTGGTCCTTCAGTCCTAACCAGGAGAGCAGCGGTGAGGGATTATGGAAGCTGCAGTCCTCAAATACCTGAAAGGCTATAAATACAGTTTGTCCAAGGTTCCACCAGCTGGCTTTATTCTCAGATGGCACAGTGGGAAAGTAAACCCCACAAACATTTAGCTCCACAGCCAGATACCTAAACCACTGAGCTATCCAGACTTTCCAGGAAAGTAAACGTCACTGAATTCAGAAGCACTCGTACTGCTTAGCAGAGGTTAGAAACAAGGAATTACAAACAACGCAGTGAGCTCAAACAAATTACTTTCTTTTGTAACGACAGTAAGACAATGCGTCCTTTCAAAAGGAGCATAACCAGTGTGACTTTTCAATAATTTTTAATGCAAGCCGGACCAATTTTGGCTGTTGGTTGTGTTGGACTGTCACTCCCATGGCTAAGCAACACAACCAATGGCAAGGAACATGAGGAGCTGTCCTTCAACTCTTGCTGTAATGAGTAAGCGGCTTCCAACTCATCTTGACATTTCTCCCTCAAGTTTTTCCTATTCTCTTACCAACCGAAGGCGTGTTTTTTTTCCTTGAAGAAACCGAAACTAAAAGAAGCCAAACAGCAAAACAATACTGTACCGGCTCTTCCAGGCTCTCTTTTAGAGTAACGAGGAAGGGTTGTTTAGACAAGACAATCGCCAACAGAAAGTAACTTTCCAAGTTCTCCTACCGGTGCGATGGGCGAAGGCTACAGTTAAGAGTTCCGCCTCGGGTTCTTTTTAAGAAGAAAGGCGGGATACTTTTTTAAAATGAATGAATAAATAAAATTCCTCTGGCACCCGCCTGTAACGGCCGGAGGACGTGGTCCTGCTACTCCCGCCCATGACAGGCCAGAGGTGGGCAACGCACGCACACCCCCTCCCCAAGGCTCACTATTGCTAGCTCTTTGGGCCGACAACATCTGGAGGGCCACAGCTGCCCACCCCATCCTAAAGCCAATGCCTTCGCCTATATTACCTCCCGGCGGGACACCGGCCCTGGGTCTCAGCCGGGGCTCCTGGCAGGTCCGCCGCTCCCCAGACCGGCCCCCCCACAGGGCTCATCTCAGAGGGGTCGCCGGTTCCTTCACAACATGGGCGCAGGACCCCCTGGTTCCCCCTCCACAGAAGCTCACATCGCTCGCTCGCTCGCTCTCCAGCCGAGGACTGGAGGATGATTACAACTCCTCCAGTCCGCCTCGCTCCCGTAGTCCTCACCCTAGCGTCTGCGATGCCTCACGGGACTTGTAGTTTATGGGAGGTATATGGGTACTATAGACTCATTCAAACTTTGACTACCAAAATTTCGATACCCGCGAAAATCTGGGACGGATTTCTCTCCGTAGCGGTTAGTTACTTACTCCTCAGCCAGCGCTGCTTGGCTCGAACTCTAACGTCTTCCTCTTAAAGGGGGAAAGCCCAGGAATCGAGCGGGGCTTCGGCGTCTCGTCCGCTTCGTTTTCAGAACGCAAAGTCGGAAGTCCCACGTCTAGCTAACGAAGCGTGTTGCTTCTTTTTTTCCAACCTCTATGGGCAGAACGCCGCCTGAAAGACCGGGTCAGAATGAAATAGGGAGGCCGAAGAACACTTTTAATTCTTTTTTCTTAAAGGGGGAAAGCCCAGGAATCGAGCGGGGCTTCGGCGTCTCGTCCGCTTCGTTTTCAGAACGCAAAGTCGGAAGTCCCACGTCTAGCTAACGAAGCGTGTTGCTTCTTTTTTTCCAACCTCTATGGGCAGAACACCGCCTGAAAGACCGGGTCAGAACGAAATAGGGAGGCCGAAGAACACTTTTTATTCTTTTTTATTTTTTAGGAAGCCATGTTTGTTAAGGGACAGGAAACGCCTCCCTCTTCATCTTGGGGGAGGGAGGAAGTTGGCCGAGAGCAAAGAGAGGGACGGTGGCGACGGGCCTGCTCCTCTCCCCGCCTTCGCGGTGAGGCGAAACGCGCCATGCCGTTGGTGCTGGTGTGCGGCCTGCCGGGCAGCGGCAAGAGCCGGCGCGCCGAGGAGCTGAGGGCGGCCCTGAGCGCCGACGAAGGCGGTGACGGCGCTGGGCGGCGGGTCTTCGTTGTCTCCGAGGCGGATTTCTTCGAGGGCGGCCGGTCGGCGCTGCGGGCGGAGACGGAGCGGTTGCTGAACCGGCGGGACGTGGTGATCGTGGAGGCGGGCGGCGAGCTCAAGAGCTTCCGCTACGAGCTCTACTGCCTCAGCAAGCACGCGGGGACGCCGCACTGCCTGCTCTTTTGCCCGGGAGGCGCCGCCCACCCGGACCGGCCACCTCTGGAGCCTCAGGGGGGCGCAGAGGGGGGGCGTCCAGCCGGGGCAGTTCGTCCCCGTGGCCGTGGAGGGACTGGCGGCCGGAGGCGGCGGCGGTGGCCAAGAGGCGCCTCCGGGCTTGCGGCTCCACAGGCCCGTCAGCCTGGCCGAGCTCAGCCGCCTCCGAAGGCAGTTCCTCAGCTATGCCAAGATGCACCCGGGAGAAGGCGAGGAGGATCTGCCCCAGCTCGGCAACATGTTTCTGCAGTACCTGAGCCGCAATCTCCAGTGAGGCGCTGGAAGAAGAAGGCGCTGGAAGAAGACACCCCCCCCCCCTGTGGAAGGCCAGGGATGGCGAAGCCTTTCTAGGCCAGCTGCCTGCTTTATGGGCGCGGAGCCATTGGGAGGCAAATATCCATGCCTCCGTGTCTCCCCTTCTCCCCGCTTTGGGATCTGGATGGCAGACCTGGGACCTGAGCATGACCAGAACCTTGTTGCTGCCTACATCTTGGAGTGCAGACCATCTCCAGCATCGCTGGCAAACTGCATAAACTGCTGTCAGACCTATTTTGGTAAAGGATGGGACAGAAATATTTTAAATAAAGACTTATTTATAACATCATGGTACATCACAGGTCTATGTTTGCTTCACTTGCCACTTCGTTTTTATTTATTTATTTAAGATATTTTTACTCCGCCTTTCTCATTGAAAAGGACCCAAGGTGGCTTACAAACAATGAAAGACAGCATTTAAAGTTGAAAACGATGAGTACACAGTTGTCAATGCATCATTAAAAGACAATATTTAAAGCCAAGAACAATGAATAAGGAGACATCTGAGAACATTAACAGGCAATATTAAGGCAAAGATCAATAAGTATACAAGAAGAAAGTTACATTGAGAAATGGAAACCACAAAAATGGAAAATACAAGGAGTGCTAAAAACTCAGTCAAAGCAATAATGTACTGTATAACAATCTGTTTAAAGATCAGACACAGGTAGCTAGATTAACTGAGGGAAGGCTTGCCTGAAGAGAAAGGTCTTTGCCTGCTTGTGGGAGGACAGCAAAGATAGGGCCAATCTGGCCTCCTGTGGCAAGAAGTCTGGGAGCAGCAAGGGAGAAGGCCCTCTCCTGTGTCCCCTCAGATGCACCTGTGAAGGTGGTGGAACTGAAAGAAAGGCCTCTCTTGATGATCCTAACACCCCAGCCGGCTCATAGTGGGAAATACAGTTTGATATAGCTTGGATCCAGGTCATTTAGGGCTTTATAGGTTAAAAACCTTCCTCAAAGATAATATGCATCCCTGTGAGGTAGGCTAGACTGAGAAATAGCGACTGGCTCAGTGTTGCTGAGTGACTACGGAGGTCTGATGCAGAAACCATATCTTTTTGTTATGAAAAAAATGGGTGTCATCCTGTGGACATTTTGAAAGGAAGGAGCCTATTGAGCACAGCAAGGGATACACCCACACAATAGTGTCGTATTGCAGTTAGCTCTGTTTTTGTCTGTACTGTATATGGTGGACGTGCAACCTTTGACCAAAATCTTGCTACTTCACATGTAAGATCAATTGTACAGGCAGTTTTAGCTGGCCAACGGTGGTGCTTTCCTGCAGCCACTTGCTGAATAAACATTTGTGTGCTCAGTTGCACATTTAGCAATTGAAGCTGTGCAATGGTTTCAGTGCTGGGCAGAAATTATGGATAAACACATACAGGTGAAATTGCATCATAGTCTTTCAGACTATGTATATGCACACATTCAGATATCTGGATATTGCTGGAAATTAAAGTTCTTAGCTTTCTTACCTCCAAAGTCAAAATGGATTGCAGATAATCTGGGCTTAACTCTTAAAAAGAAAGTGACTGCTGTTAAATTATTCCTGCTCTCTTTACTAGCCACCTAAAAAGTCTACCTAACTCCTGCTTTTTAAAATTAGTATTTCCAAGACTGATAGAAAAAGCAGCACTTACCAAGATACACTGTGGAATCCTGTCTTCATCTGCATTTACCTTATAAAGCTATTTGCTGCTCCTTCATGACATGCCCAATTTGTTGCCTGGGGCAGTCGCCTCATTCTCCCAGGATTCTTTTTTGCTTATCTTTTGGAAAAGGCATACAGTCTTTGTCCAGGAAATGCTTTTTTTATTCTGAGTTTTGTCTTTTTGGTTTCTATCTGCCTTTCTTCCAAGGTGCCTCACAGTATATTTAATAACAGGAAGAATAAAAATGAATTCTCATTATCATGAGCCTGGCCAACCCTGATTTGGCTGTCGGGTGATCCGTCTTCCATCCTCAAATCCATAAACTTCAGACCAACGGGTTCAAACTTAAGTTTATTGAATCTGGAAGGGGGTAAACAACAACCAATTTGACCACCAATCTGCCTTCCTTGGCCCTAGTTCCCGACACTGGCTCAAGGCCCTTTAGTATTATCTCTTACCTCTGGTTCTGTTTTCCAAAGTCAGTCCTGGGAGTTTAGTTTTCACCACTAGACTCTTGGGTAATAAAGACTCCTGAGCTCAGGGCTTCATTGTCTTCTGCCAACCCCTAAGAGGGAGGGGTAGTATCCCTGCAATGAGGGCAAACACAGAGGTGATTCCCTTGTGGGGAATTAGAATAATCCTGGTTCCTGGTATTCTTTTCTCTAGGTGCTGGTGCTCCTGATGTCTCTTCTTGCACCAGTGTCAGCTCTGTGTGGGGTTAGGATTTCCCATTTCTCCTGCTTCCCTAGTATGACAAGCTGGTAGGGAGTCTTGGGGTATTAATGCTTTTCCTTTGGGGACTCTCAGCTGGACCAGTACTCCTGTTCAGGGTTCTTCTTTATAAATGGAATCTCACTCCCCTGAGAGTCTGGTTTTTCACCAGAAGGAACCCTCAGCCCAGTAAGTCCCTGAACACTACACCTGAATATTACCCCATTCTCTTTTCTCTAGGTCTTCTTTCTCTTGGGGGTCACTAAGGGCCTTCTGCTCTTTTTTCCTATGTGTAACAGTTCAATTTTATGTTTTCCTGTCTCTCCTGAGCCACCCTGCCCTTCTTGCCCAAGATCTGTCTCTGATTGTTACTTTTTCTCTGGACCCAGCAGGGCTTTTCCCTCCTGTGGTGGCTCCTTTTTCTCATGTTTTTGGCCGCAAGACGGCCTATATATCTGCCATGCGCTAGAAGTAAAGTAACTACCCTCTCTCCCTTACTGGTGCTCTCCAATTCCATGGCTGACATGAACACACTGGGAACTATATAAATGGTAAGTTCTACTTTAGCATCTTTTACAGGAGACTCTGAAATCAGTTCATAGGAAGGATGGATGAGTTATGTGGGTCCTGGAACCCACACAACAGGCCACCAACAGGGGCATCCATGTCCCTGTCCTCTTCACAAATATTAAAATAGAATTAATTATGTGGGTCCTGGAACCCACACAACAGGGGCGCCCGTGTCCCTGTCCTCTTCACAAATATTAAAACAGAATTAAATTGATTGTCATAAAAATAGAATACAATTAGAAAACCAGTTAAAAACATGTCAGTGAAAAATAGTAATTACATGCAACAATAGAAGAGTGCAGCATATCCATCAATCAGTGCCTGAAAGAGAGCAGGGAAGCAGCCAAATAAGCCTGCCTCAGCAGGAAGTTCTGCTGCTTGCGAGCAGCTACCAATAAATAACTCATGGTTTGGGAGCGATTCAAACATGTCCTGGGTATATGCTTATTATCTGATACAATCCTGTCAAACCAGATCCTGTTGTGCCTTTGACAAAGAGTTTATTTGAGTGATTTGCAGGTACAAATTCACCACAAACATCCATCCACAAGGTAGATGTGTAGAGGTGTCACAGGATCACGTGTTGTTGTTGTTGATAAATAGACAAATTGTTGTTGTTGTTGTTGTTGTTGTTCATAAATAGACAAATACTATACCAGGATTATTTCCCCAATAGATTTAGAAACAGGATGAGCATCAGGGCTCTTCTAAAACATTTGGCAGCCAGGATGATGATTTTTGGCTTGCTTTTATGAATTTAGCACTGTGAGTAGGGTACCTGACTGTGGAGCCAGAATTTGAGAGCATGGTTCCTCATTGTAGTTCCTGGAAGAAAATCCAGCCTGTGTAGCCTTGGCAAGCTGTACATTCTCAGAGTACTTCTGGAAGAAGGGACTGTTAACCACTTCTGAGTATTCCCTACATAAAAGACCCAGAAAGGGTTGGCATGATTTGAAATCTACTGGACAGCGCATGGTGGCAATTATTATCTCTAAATTAACTACTTGCAGCTTATTTTAATGCACTGTGTTATTATAGCTGTAATAACACATTTGTAGGATGGGGTGGAAATCTAAATAGTAATTTCTCTACATCTGGGTAGTATGGGGAAACAAACCACTGGGATGTTTTCCAGTGCAATACAGTACTTTGCTGAAAATAGTGGGAATTTATTTCCACACCATTTCACTGAGGTTTGCACAGGAGGTAGACCAGTTATAATAACACATGAATAATTAGTTTTCAATTAATTACTGCCTTATGTGACAAACATATGTTTCTACTATGAAAAACCATAGGTGTGCACCCACTGCCTATTGCAGTATTTGTGATTCATTACAGGCAAATATACCACCATTGCCTTATGTGACAAACATATGTTTCTACTATAAAAAACCATAGGTGTGTACCCTGTGCCTGTCACAGTATTTGTGATTCATTACTGTATAGGCAAATATACCACCATTATCTTACAGCTTAAACAAGTTCAATGCAATCTGTGCAATAAGCTGCTATATAACACATTAAATATAAATGTAAAAATGTAGATTGATGAAGATATAAACTCTAAGCCATAACAAACAGATCAAGACTACAGTTCTGTGTAGGCCTGGGCATTTGTTCAATTGAATTAAGAGTTTTTGAATAAGGTTACTCATGTTGGAATCCTATATACACATACCTAAGCGTGAGTAGCACTGATGCATGGTGGGATTTTTTTCCAGGTGAACATAAATGTGGCAATGTAACAGCTAAATATATTCTACATCACACAGAACAACAAACCTTATAACCATATGACCACTCCACACATATTTCTAGCTTTAAAATGTGCCAGTTAGCAGTGAGTAAAGAGGGTGGAATACTCTCAAAACCGTATCAGAATTACCAGTGGGAAAATGTGGTGAAATTTCATGGCAGGACTGGCTGCTGCGCCTAGAATTTTGGATCAATTGTTGTTCCACTGTTATGATGTCACAATCTGAAATAAGGGGAATTTTAAAGAGTTGTGCATATGCATTCTTCTGCGATACTTGACTACTCGGTGACTGAAATCCTGTTGTGCAGTTACATAAACAGTAACTTACACAAATAATTTGCACAAATGTAATTAAAAGTAATTTGCACAAATTGCATAAATTAAGAAATCTCTGTAGAAATTATTTCTTGCATACTGAGTCACATGACTTGGCATGCTACAGATAATGTGTGCAGAGTTATTTTTAACTTACAGCAGTTCACATATAATTGGGGTGAAGAAATTCCAGCACATCTCCCCCACTCTGGCCACCCTTCATTGGCTGCCAGTTCGTTTTCGCTTTGACTTCAAGATTATGATGAGAACATTCAAAGCCCTAAACGATTTAGGAACTCGGTACCTATCAGAATGCCTGCTCCCAGCCAGATCTTCACAGGCAGGGGGGTTGAGGGCCTTGACCCCGAAGGAAGCCCATAGGGAAAGAACAAGAAATCTGACCTTCTCGGCAGCCCCCCACGCCTATGGAACAACCTGCCTATTGGGATCTGCCTTGCATGCTCACTGGATGGGTTCAAAAGAGCATTGAAAACCTGGGTCTTTCCTGGGGACCATTAAGATCTCGGCCTCCCTTTTTACCATCCTTTCTGCCATCCTCTCCATCACCCTTATTACCACCCTTAATTGCCACCTGTTTTAATTACAGTAACCTTATTTGGTTATTATTTATTTAATTTAGTTATTTAATTTATATGCCACCCACACTACCCAAAGGTCTCTTATGTATTTGTTTATTTTTTTATCGAGTTTTAATATTGTTGCTGATATTGCTGTTAGCTGCCCAGAGTGACCTGGCTGCCAGATGGTGTGGGATATAGATTCAATAAATAAATAAATATAAAAGGCACACTGTTTGTATAACTATACAACAGTATTTCAAATGGTAGTGGGAAATTAGTCAGCTGCATCTTTATACGCTGACTTACAAAATTAAACAGCTGTTCAAATCATAGCAAACAATTCTTGCCTGTTTTTCTTAGTCATAGATACACATATTGAAAGGTTAAAAAGTGGCAAATGGTTGGATTTTGCTTCACAATTTTATCTATGAAATGGCAACTTTTGTTTGCATTCATTAATGCAAGTCTATCATCAAGAAGTTGTCGTATGGTTAGTTAACTTCCAAGGTAAATTTTAACTATATACTGTATTAGCAAAAAATGAACTAAATAAGCATGTTGCTTTAAAAATGAGCACATAGGTTTCAACAAACAAATGAATGCATGGATTTAAATACACAGTACCCTAGCAATCTAATAATGTATATCTATAGTTACCACAAATCTATAGAAGTATACTTGCATTTTATGGCATGGGCTATTTAATTATTCAACAGCTGCTCAGAGTGCCTGTATGGTTGTGCGTTCTGTATTTGATCTGTAACAGTTTGGCCTGAAATATCCTCCTAAATGGTCCGTCAGTTTAAAAATATCCACAGGAAAGCATCAATTCAAAATCACTTCTTGATTAAAAGAGGAATGGCTTATTTTGTCCTTGCAAACATAATTGATATTCATGAGAGACTATTTTGCCTGCCTCCCTGAGCAAGGACATGAAAAACATTGGTAAAATAGTGGAAGTGCAAAGAAAAAATGGACTAGAAATGATGTAATTTACTGTGTGGATTGAATTGAGATACTGGGTTTTATCTCACTGCAGGTGTCAATTAAGTTGCAAAAGCTAGAAGATTTGTGTTATCACCAACACTACTTTGTGCATGGCCTCTGAAACAGGCATTAATTTTTCTCTGACCTTACTGGTTATAATCCTTGGCTTCCTCATGTGTATAAATACTGCTAACTTTGGAAAATAGATTGATTTGTGAACTTTCATTTTTCACAGTCTGCTATAGAAGGATTCTTGTGTTGCGGTACATAATACAGTTCACACAAAACACTAGTTAATTGAATGCAGGGGGCACTATACCCCACAAGGTACTTGTCAGTCTTTTGTATAAGAAGATGGTGTTGTATATGTATCTGAATACACGGCATGAATTCCTTCATGCATATAAATAATTGTATGTGTGAAGCTTTTCAAAATTCCTGGGACCTTGATCATGAAGGGTTTAAAGTTACGTGGAAGGCTTCACTGATAGTGATCTGTGCTTCTTTCTGCTGTCATTCACACTCTCTTGTTGATACAGGGCATGTACCTGCTAGTGTTTTATGCATAATGTTGGCTGAACATATGGAGGAAATATCTGAAGAGGGCTTTTAAAAAGCAACCTTTGTCCTTGTGTGTTGTGTGCCATCAAGTTGGAACCAACTTATAGCAACCTAATTAGGGCTTTAAAGATAAGCAAGATGATCAAGGAGCCATTTTACTAGTACCAGCCTCCCTGCCCCCCTGAGTTTCCATGGCTGAGTATGGATTCAACACCAGGTTTCCCGAATCCCAGTCTGTTACTCTGTCTACTATCCCACACTGGGTATCCTTTTTGGTATAGTATTCTCTAGTACTCTCTTGGGACGCTAGGAGCCAAGACCTCAAATGGGTGGTCAACTCTTTTCTGTCAAGGGCTGCATTTGCTTGGGATTATACTATCAGAAACTACATGGCGGCAATGGGTGGGACTGAAACCAGCAGAAGATGGGGCCAGAGTCAAACTTTTGTTTTTCTGCGCCTCCTTGCTTTGGATAGCTCTGCCACTTCTCCATTTTTCACTTGCTTTTGCTGGGTGGTCAAAGAATTCCTACTAGAGGTCTGAATGGATCCCTTTCAGATCTAGTCTATCTCCCTGCAGATCCAGAAAATTGACAGCAAAAGCTTCCCTAAGAGATGGGGGCATCCAACCTGTTTACAAAGTCCCAGTGAAAGAGAGACTACCACCTACTGAGTCTACCATTCAAGTTTCAAGCTGCTCAGTAATTTCCTCATTCAGTAATTTCCTCATCATGCTTAGTCAGAATCTTCTCTCTTGTCATAGAATCATTGAAAACTGAAGTCGGAAGGGGCCTACAAGGCCATCAAGTCCAACCCCCTGATCAGCGCAGGAATACAATCAAAGCATATCTGCCAGGTGATTATCTGAGTTTTTCTTGAATGTCTCCAGTGTTGGAGCACTCACCAACTCCTGAGGTAACTGGTTCCACTGTTGTACTGCTCTAACAGTTAGGAAGTTTTTCCTGATATTCAACCGAAATCTGGCTTCCTTTAAATTGAGCTCATTGTTGCGTGTCCTGCACTCTGGGATGATCGAGAACAGATCCTGCCCCTCCTCCATATGACAGCCTTTCAAATACAGTATTTGAAAAGTGCTATCATATCGCCCCCTCAGTCTTCTTTTCTCAAAGGTAAACATGCATTTAGATCATCACTTCAGCTTCTACCCTCTGTAACCCAAAAAACAACCACGCTCCACAACCCTTCAAATATAGTGTCATATCTTTCGAAACTCAAAAACTTCAGGGAAGGGGATGCTTTGTCATCACAATTATAACCCATTTTTGAGACTTTCCAATAGCAGAGTAGGGTACTACAAAGCAAACAATCATTTGAATAATAACGTTATCTTATTAAAAGAACATATAGCAGAATTTGGTCTGTGTTAGCTATTTAAGGTTCATCAAGCTTAATCTTGGCGTTAAATTTTCAACAGCAGGCCTTAACAATGGCATGTGGAAAATAAAAATGGAATACTGTAAAAATGTTCTAAGGGGGAGGTAGAATCTATTTTATTAACTAGTAAATAAATCTGGAACGTTTGTGGTCAATGGCTACAGATATGAGCCACCAAATCCCTAATTCAAATGTTACCTCCTCGGTTAATTTGGCGGCCTGAAGACAAACCTATCATTCTCTTTTCCTCCCCCCCTCCCCCGGCCCCAGGAAAATACTGGTTTTCACAGGATGATTGTAAAAGGGGACGGGGAAATATTGGCAGCAGTAGGAAGTGCTGCATAAAGGTTCATGCATACATGTAGACTCGTTTGGGAGTAAGCCCTATTGAAGTCAGTGGAATATATTCCGGAGGAAACGTCCTTAGGTTGGCTTTCGGCTTAGAACACAGGCTTCAGACATTACAAACCTTCACGCGTCCCCTTTTTCCGGATTTAAGCTCTGTCCTAACAAGGGTATGTCGGCCGATATTCTTAAGAGGTTCACGCAAACGCATTCATACAATACGTTTTCTTATGCCCAGGAAGGCCACCACGATGTTTTATATTTCCCGCGCATTTATTGTAGTACACTTCTGGCTGTTTCTAAGGCATTCCTAGGGAGACTCCAGCCGGCTGGGAGCATCCAAGAACCCGCCTCGGCTTGCTGGAGGAGGAATCGGGCAGGGGAAGAGGCT